AATGAAAAGCTTTGCAAAGCTGTTTTTTTTATTCAGTAATATTCCAGTTCCATCACACCAAACGAACATTTAATTGTGTGTTTTATTTCTTTTGTTGCTATGGCTACAGCTCTCAACATCAGAACATACTTCTGGATAATTTTGATTTTCATATTTATCAACATAAAATCAAAACCATGTTTGCACACTATTAACCATGATTAGGAAAAAAAGACTCCACAACAATGCGGCATGTTTCATTGCGGCTTTCATGAATGAAGTTAATATTTGCAATGCTTCATTTTATTTTTGTCTTAATTACTGACTTCAAATGCAATGCACTTGTCAGTTTGGTTTAACTAGTAGTTAAATTTAATGGTAAATAATTAAGCGCAAAAAATCTATTTGAAACCACGATTCACCCTAACTAGCTTTGTCATGTGTATTGATTGCTTGGAACACAGAGAACAGCTTCAGTGGCATTCGGGATAATGCAGGAGCTCTGGACTAACAGCATACCTTGTATCCATCCATCCATCCATCATAAATGCAAAATTTGTTTTGCTGATTAATTGGGAGAGCATTGGCACTACTGGAAAAGGGGAAAATAAATCAATTTCATCCAAAAATTTTTGAAACAACTCCTCCAGTATCACAATGACGCCACCCGCAAACTGGAGGAGCAACACCTCATATTCCGCCTCGGGAGCCCTCAGCCCAATGGCCTAAACATGGAAGTCACCAGTTTTAAAATCTCCCCACGCCTGGCCTCATCCCAGGTCCAACCCTCCCTCTGATCTCCACCTCCTTGACCTGACATAACCTGTCCATCTTCTCTCCCACCTATCCACCCCACCCATCCCACTGACCAAGCCCCTGCACTCACCTATCACCATCTCACTTACCTTCCCGAGCCCCACCCCTTCTCTCTATTTATTTCCCAGTTCCCTTTCCCTTCCCCATTTATGAAGAATGGTCCCGACCCGAAATGTCAACTTTCCTGCTCCTCTGCTGCCTGGCCAGCTGTGTTCCTCCAGCTCCACAGTGTCGATGAGCAACAGTAACTCGTTTTAAAATGTGCACTAACTACTTCCACAGACAATTTTTTTTTTCCTAAATTGGTCTACAATCCAAAATAATGAATAATAAAGAGAGACTTTGCACATTGTCTGGAGTTAATTGATGTGTCTAAGAGTTCTGATACGTTATATTAAGGATAAGCAGATTTGACATGCTCAGTATAATGGATGTCTTTGGTGGCTTAGGTTTATAATCCTATTCGTAAGATGATGTGTATATTTTAGTTAATGGTTTAGTTTGAGTTTTCAATAAGTTGACAATTGAGTTTTCATTTGTTGACTTGACTCTAATTGCCTGACATAAATTACTTGCTAGATGCTTAGAATTGTGGAAACAATGTGTTCATAATGGAGAACCTGGTTCTTGCCAAATGTTAAAAATAACTATACACTTAGTAATGTCTCTCAATCATTGCCTTGTGGTGCCAAGGGCCACTCCAGTGAATATATTAAAGGGAGATTCTGACTTCAGGGTTATATTCCATGTTTATGATGCTTCTGAAGCAGAATATCCTAAAGCTAAAAGCATAAGAGGGTGAATAGAAGTGATGCCTCCAATATAAGTATGACATCCTATTTTAAAAACAATTGGAATTGAGGAGTTGCACAATGTTTATTAATTTAATTTTAGGTACTTTTTATGTGAATTTAACTGAGCCCATACACACTAGAGGTTCAGGAAGCTATGACGATGTCACTTTTTAAGAGGTTATTTTGTCTCTTTTTGAAGAGAGGTTGTCAGGCAGAGGTAATGATCTGGCTAGTTAAGACCACTTGGATAAACAGCTTGGGAGGCCGTCCGTGGGCTTTTTTTTTGGAAACAGCCTGCATGGGTGTGGCCAGCTGTCTCAGATCAGGATTTCTGAGTAACATCAGAAGCTACTAGGATCTCAAAAGAGTTGGAAACTTTGAATGTCTTCTGGCTACTACTCTCTCTGAATGTTCTCGATGTTTTTTCCATCTGGATTGGAAAACTGCTTGTGAGAATCTGAACTTTTTTTGCTAAGGGGTGTATTTATAGGATGTTAGTACATTAGAATAGGTAATTAGTAATAGTTACTGTATCTATTATTCTGTTAAGTTTTCCAATAGAGTTGATATTCTAAATCTCTTTTTTAGTTGTTGTATTTTAACTACAGTGTTTAAATAAACTTGTGTTTTGCTTAATGTCCAATAGTTTGACCAGTCACATTGCATCTGAGATAGACACTTTATATTTACCTTTAAAATAAGAAAAAGACTACGGTCTAGGCTACCGTCAGAATATTTTGAGGGAGTCTGGTCTGACTTATAACAAAATAATGACTGAAACTCAAAATTCTAATTGTTCCTGTGGTTTTATTTCACATATTCATTTTTTAAAAACTCCTGAGGCATGTTTGCCAGTGACTGGGCCAGCTTTTATTGCCCATCCCCAGTTGCTTTGAGAAAGTGGTGAGCTGCTTTCTTGAACTGCTGTAGCCCAAGTGCTGGAAGTAGACCCACAATGACATTAGAGAGGGAATTCCAGGATTTTTGACCCAATGACGCTGAAGAAATGGTGATATTTTTGTGTTGGAACCCTTGATGATTTTTCATTTTTTTACAAATTATTTTATCAATTTTGGTTTGAAGATGACTTCTGGACTTTGAAACAACTGTGATGACTGGAAAAGAACAGATCAAACAAGATTTTGTTTGTAAGGCTAGGCCTGGAGGTTAATTACAAGCTGAATTTTGATCAAAAGGATTCCAACAGACACAGCAACCCCAGGAAAAGCATTGTATTCAAACAGATAGTTAATATTAATGAGGTCGGTTGCTGGGAATTGGTTCCAGCAAGTCTGGAAGCGACCCTATATTCAAGCATGTGGCAGATGTTCAATGATAATTAAGGTCAAGAAAAGACAATTGTTCTGAGTTGAGCCACAGTTTGAAGGTTTTTTTTTAAAAAGCTTTTTTTCTGAATTGATGAGCTTGGCTGCTGACAAGACAGCATGAAGATTTGACAGCTCCTTGACTAAACTGCCACACTGATTTTTGGAAGCCTAGGGAGTGGAAAGCTGCATTAGAAGTATTACTAACTTTACCAGAGTTAACTGAGGTCACCCTAATTCGTGGTTCCAGAAAAGCAACCAAGGAGCTCACCTCTATTCCTGTGAAACAACACATTGTCAAAGCCAATTAAGTAATCTGGCCAGTTTTGTTGTTTTATTTATTTCTCAACTGTGCCTGTTTGTCTATTGAATGGGGGGCTGAAAACAAATGCTTGAAGTTTAAAGCGTAGACCTTAATTAGATTACATTATGTAACATTTATCTGCTAAAGTCATTGCCTATTTAACAGATCATTTAAGTATTTTGTTTAAGATACAAAACTAGTGTCTGGAAATTAATTATTTGTAAAGTCTGAGACTGGTTTCTCACCAGACCTTTAAATAACCATTGGAGTAACTATTGGGGGTCTTTGGTTTAATTTCATTTGTGTTGTGAAATACGGAGGTAGAAAGGCTGGTTTGGTTTGGTTTGGTTTTCTATCTCCATGTCATAACATTTCCAAGTCAAGATGGTGAATGGCTTGGAGGGATACTTCCAGGTAGTGGTGTCCCCATGTATCTGGTGCCCATGTCCTTGTAGATGGTAGTGATCATGGGTTTGGAAGGTAACATTAGCAGGTGGTTTACTCAATAAACCATGAAGATGTCTTCCTGAATCATTTTGAAATATCTTGTTACAAGATCCAAAAAAAAATTCCAAGACGGTGGTGCAGGAGAACAACAATCAATCAATTTGTAATATCAGAGAAATTTCTATTTCAGATAAGTTTATTCCTGTCCCATTTGGTCCAAAACTGCTTCAATGATTGGCATTACAAGGGAAGTTTAGATTAGGAGAAAGGAGCTTCAGCCTTATTGTTGAATGGTCAAAGGAAACCATGAAATAGCCAAATCCCTCCAGAATTGGGCATTATTTCCTCAATGAAGTCAGGCAGGGGCATTGCCCTTACCCATGTGTGCATCATGACCTGTTCGCCTGGAATAAGTGCTTGAGCAGAGCGACTCGCATGCTGATTTTTATTTCCCTCCTGGGCCTTGAGGAAAGCTGCTGACTGTAATTTGGATTTTCATTCAGGCTGGGCAGTCCTAACCAAGATCTATCCAAATTAAAATTGTGCATTTGAATTATGCTGACACTTATGCATAACACATTGGACTAGTAAATATTGGTAACCAGTGGCGGGGGTTCAGTAAACTAGTGCTGATATTTCTGTGCAGCTCTTTCATTCATTCTGTATCTCCTTGCTGCCTATAAATGCCTCTGTGAAAATAAATGTTTCAGTAATTAGTAATACAATTTTAATGAAACACCATATGTATCCTGGGAGGTCTGCACGCATTTAAGTCTTGTTCATTAAAATAGACACCATTGCACAGTTATTTTTATGGTACATAGCTTTGGTGATATGTTTTACTTCTAAGTCAGTATATCTTTAAGGTACATACTTGTATCATCATTGGTGTATTATAGAATGTCACCTGAGAGTTTAAATGTTTCCAAATCCATTTTAATTTGGGCCACTTGAAGCATGATATGCCAATGGAAGCACATTAGTCTTTGTAACGGAACAATTTAAGGTTAGCTGACGCATCAATGTGCCTGCGAATGTAATATATAATTAGTAACCTACAATAAACTGCACCTGTCAATACTATTATCCATGTGTTAATTCCTTTTGTTATGACAGTAACATAAGCATTGTCACATTGGATGAAGATACACTGTTCAGAGGCAAAATGCACATCAGATTCCCTAGTATTTCCATTTGATGAATAGGCATTTTCAAAGTCTGTTATTTATAAACAACTCTAATGGCTAATTAATCAGTTTGCTTTAAGAAAGAAGCAAATGCCTGTGGTTTAAAGATTTTTGGAAGTGATCATGTTTTATTTTTTTTTCTGAACAGGCGCCATCGGTGTCCACATCTTCCCACTGTAACCTATGAAAAGATTAATAAACCATGCCTGATTACCGAGTATGTGGAGAAATATACTCCATATGGAGATGTTCAGCCGAGAGAATCCTACAAACCCCGAGAGGAATACCAACGACATGAAGGGAAGATGCAGAGCATGACTACATTCAGGTATTTGTTTAGTCCAAGTCCGCTCAAGACGGAAAAAGTAGTTGTTCTAATTTTAATGCAATATATCGCCCTGCCGATAGGATATGGGAGGGTGTAAGTAAATTTACAATTTTAATAATTTTATTGCCGATTGGATTGACTTTCATGTTCTTGATGTAAAAAATAATGGAAATTCAAGCATTGATATTTGTGACAATCATGCTTTAATCACATTGGAAATTAGGTATTACCAATTTCTAATTATAACTCTTCTGTTGCAGTTTACTGGTTCAAGTGCCCCATGAAGAAGAGGACTCCCCGCTGTAATGCTGTTCACATTCTATTGCAATCTCATCTCATTAGTACTGTTAAATTAAAACAGATTTGAATCCTTAGTATCACTTACTGGTCATCTTCAAGTCAAAGTGAATTATTCTGTGCTACTATACCTCATTCCAGGCACTTCTGCTTTCATTTATTCTAGAGTGATATCTGTTCTCAGTCAGTGTTACTTGCATTTGTTTTCTTTTTCATATACTCCTGTCATATTAACAGAAATATATTAATACATGAAAAGAATTTTGATTAAAGGGGTTGCTAAACCTATTACTTCATACAATGTGTGAAAAGGGCAGATGTATGATGGATGCAATTGTATATAGAAATGTGGCATGATAGTACTTGATGGAAAGACTTGAGAAGCACTAGAAAATGAATGATACAATTTTAAAGGAGGTTCATGAACTCTTGGTTGAATGTAAAAAGAGCAGGGCGGAGACCAGGAATCTTGCAAGGAGTAACTCATCTTCTGATTCCTCAAAGCCTGTCCACCATCTAAAAGGCACAGGAGTCTGGATGGAAAGTCAGAGTGTGATAGAATGCTCTCCACTTGCCTGAAATGAGTGCAGCTCCAACAACACCCGAAGCTTAACACCATCCACTTCAATATCCAAGCTAAGTAGTGTGTGCTATTGACAAGATGCACTGCAAAAATTCACCAAAGATCCTTAGACCGCATCTTTCAAACTCATGCCTGCTTCCACCTAGAAGGACAAGGGCAGCAAATACACAGGAACACTACCAACTGCGGGTTCCCTTCCAAGTCATTCACCATCCTGACTTGGAAATGTACTGCCATTCCTTCACTAATGCTGGGATAAGACCTTGGAATTCCCTCCCCAAGGGCATTGTGGGTCAACCCACAGCATGTGGATTCCAGTGGTTCAAGAAGGCAGCTCACCACCATTTTTTCAAGGGCATTGAGGGACAGGTAATAAATGCTGGCCAGCTAGCAATGTCCACATCGCACAAGTGAATGAAAAGAAATAATGAGCCTTGTGTGACTATCTGATGGGCACTTATCGGAAATAAAATGAAATTCTGTTTATCCTGCTCTGTAGTCTGTGTCAGTAAACCAGAGGAAATCGGGTGTGTGCCACATTTCAGTAATGTTTGTGTATCCTTTTCTGCGGTCAACAGGGCAGATTATACTCCACATGATATCCAGCCTAGACCAGGCAGGGTGAGTGAGGAATTCAAACATCCCCATGGAAGTATGAATCTAGACACCACATACAAACGAGATTTTAATGTACACTCAATCCAACCGGTGGCTCCAAAACGACCATTAGAACAAAGAAACAACTCAACAGCGAAGATGGAAACAATCCCCACATACAAAGGTATGTCACAATTTTTATTCTTTTCATTCAGTAAAGATTTAGCAACAGCAGCTTGTAATTACATAAAACCTTTCCGGTAAAGTGATTAGAAGTTCTCAAAGTGACTCCTGGGAGCGTGATCACACCCAATTTGATCCTGGCCACACAAGAACGTATTCCTGCTAATGAATGAGGGTAAGGGATGGAGAGCATGGCTGAGGAGAAAAACAGATTAACAGAGAGGAGGAGGGGAGATGAAGGCCTCAACCCATGAGCTTGTCTAACAGGTTTGAAAGTCGTGTTCCCTTTGTAGAGCAGGGGCTGTAGTGAGGATGAGCAAACTGACCACAGCACCATATTACAGGGAGCCATTTGAGAGCGGGGGAGAAATGACAAATGTACTTGTAATTGGGGATGGTATAGTCAGGGGAATTGACAATATTCTCTGTAGCTAGGATCTAGAATCCCAAAGCCTGTGCTGCCTGATACCCAGGTTTAGGATAACTCCTCTGGGCTACAGAGGAACTTGGATTGGGAGTGGAAAGACCCAGTTGTTGTGGTCCATTGTAGGTAGCAACAATATACGTAGAAAGACAAAATGGCTTCTATTTCCTGAGCTGGGGTAGGGTGCCGGGGAGGGGGAAAGAAGGGAGATTGTTGGGGGGGAGGGGGAGGAGAAGATGAGACAAAGGGGAATGAAGAGAGGAGGGGCTTAGAGAAGGAGAGGAAGGAGCCAGAAGAATAGGGTATGTGGATGGGAACAGAGGAGGAAGAGGGAGGGGAAGAAGAAAGAGGTGAGTGCGAGGGAGAGAAAGAAGAGGAATGGGGGCAGAGGAGAGGAGAGGTGGGAGTGAGGAGGAGAGAGGGAGAAGAGGAGAAGGTGTGATGAAGAGGAATGTAAGGGAATGGGAGAGAAGACAGTGGGGAAAGAAGAGGAAGGGGGCATTGGACGAAGTGACAGAGAATGGGGGAGTGATGAAAGAAGAGAGGGGAGAGGAAGGACGGGTGAAGAAGAGGGAGGAGTGAGTCAGTACATGGACTTTAAGGGAAGGAGGAGGGTGTGAGGATGATAGGTCATTGGGTTAACATCCTGGCATTTCGGATCAAACGCGTTCGCAGGAGCAGCATCAGACTTTAGGCTGGTGCAATTATAAAAGGAGACACAGAAGCACATCCTGCTGGGTGACTAGTGTCGACAATAACTCATCCCGGTGCTGCCCATGTCCCAAACTTCACCAGTTTGAAAAAAAAACCCTGCTGCGACAAAATGATTGTCAGTTACTTTCTGTAATTGGTTGAAATAAGTGCATTGGAGCTGGAAGCTAGATATTCCTATTCCTATTGATCTGAATCAGGGTTTGACTTCCAAAATGTATCCTAAACTGTGAATTGATGTCTGGCTGGAGGTTTATTCTTTCTATGGTTTTCAATATTTTATTATCTTTTTCAGATCATTTCAAACAGTGGGAACTTCCTAAAAGAGAAACATATAAACCAGAATATACATTCAAAGTACCATCAGTCAAGTTTGCAAATAAAACCACATTTCAAGATGACTATTCTGTCCAAGTGCCAACTCCCAGAGAGTGTGTTAGGCCTACAAATGCTGCTAGGTTGTTAAACGTGCCCTTTGATGACATGACCAACTATCGGCAGCATTTCGTACCTTATACATATGAGCCCCACAAGAGGCGTGAACATGAGCAATACAAACCAAATGATGAACCTTTTGATGATCTCACTACTCACAGGAGAGATTTCAAGGGACAAACAGGAGAGCTTACACTACCTATTCGACCTCCATGCAGCAAACCCGACACTGATCAGCAATTTTGCGACTTGACTGAATTTCGAGACAAGTACCGCACATGGACGGTAGATCGACCGGTAGTGCACAAGGCTGTGGAATTTGTAGCTCCTGAAGGCACAATTAATCTGAGCACCACTACTCGTACAGACTACATTGAACACAAAGTCCAACCTCTTGTTCCAGCCCGGCCTGTGCCCCAGAGGAGCGGGTTAAACATTTCATTTGAAGGGCAGTCCACCATGAAGGCAGACTACAAACCTTGGGATTCTGTACGGGAACCTATGATCAAACCACGTCAAGAACTGGAGAAAGCCACCGGCCAATTCAATGATATGACAACATTCAGGGCTCACTATGTACCTCACCAGATTAACCTGGTACATTCCTTCAAACCCCGAAACTCCTACAATCCCAACGCAGTGCCGCTGGATAATGGAACCACCCATCAATTCAGTTTCACACCAAAACCAGTTCAGCCGTGTCCTGCCTCATTCGCAGTGCCCCCTGGTTATGAGTATGTGGAAACTGACCCTCAAGGTCATAAATTGTATCACCCACTGTCCGAAAAGGAAAATGTCCAGCCCAAATTACCAAACACCTCCCTGGAATTGATTTCAAATACTCTAAGACATCAAAAATCTGCAAATGATTTGAAAGCAGGTTTCCCAGCTGATGGAATAGTTGCAGCTTGAAGAAAGCAAACCATGGCCCTGCCAACCTGGAAGTTATGATCTTCTGGTGTTCTTTAATAGGAATTACAGATATGCATCCTGTTTGCTTTACTTTATAAAACCGATAAATAAGAAGAATAGAAGATTTTATTCCTGTACAAGTTGCAATCAAACGCAGCAAAACTCTGGGACTGCCAAAAACCACATCCCTATTTTAGAATGGAGTTTAACCTCCTCTCATCAACGTGGCTTGAATGTTCTATTATCAACACAGTAAAATGAATTTTTAAAATCAATTGCTTCCACTGACAGTGCTGCATACATTATTCAGAAGATTCACGTTGAACATTTATTTTGAATGCAATTCTATATCTTTTTGCAGTATACCATGTGATTGGAATGTGCATAGTGAAGGCAGAGGAGCCTGGAATTATTTTAAGGAAGTTTTGGATGTTGTGACCTGGAGATGAGGGTTTTCCTGAGAGAATGAATAATGCTGAGACAAATCTTATCCAAGTCAATTTTGTGATCTTTATCAGTGTAAGATTGAGATGTCCGGTTTTTTTTTAAACTTTCTGTGAAGGTGCAATACTTCTGTAACTGTTTGCCTACTAACTTACTTGAAATGTTACACTCTAATACAGTTAATCTGAATGATAAACCTGGAAGAGGGAAACCCAATATACAAATGTGTCCAGTACAAGTTCTTGGGCAGAACAGAAATTAACACATTACATCAGTTCACGTGTTACTTCTACTAAAGCAGATATCATCCTACTGCTTAACCTTACTTTGTTGCCCTAATTTAAGAATTAATCACCAGAAAGATCAATATTTTTGTATTTGGATCTTGTACTTTTTGAACAGTGATAATTTAACTTTTCTTTTGAAACCGGTCCACAAATTATTTATAGCTATCACAAAAAAATTGTCATTTTACATATTTGTCTCAACCCAGGCATCCAGTGGAGTTCATCAGTTCCTCAAAGCACCATTGATTAGTTCACTATAATTACATTAAGTTAAAGGCTAACATTTAAAAATGAGATGATTGAAATATGTTTTTCTTTTGAAAGTACAGATACAGTTGTTATATATCAAGATTAAGGTTTCTTTAATGTTATATTCTAAACACTGAATGAACCATATGAAGCTACCACATCCCTGTCCATCATCTTATGTAGATGTAGATTACATTCAGTAAAAGATTAGAAAGCCTTTTAATAAGCATCCTTAATTCATGTGCATTTAGTGTAGCCCACTCTTTCTATACACTTACAATAGATATTGTAGCTCCATTACCTGTAATTATGAAGAACATAAGTGTAATCTGTTTTGCTTCACAAAAATATTTCACCCATGATATTCTCAGGAATGCTTCTAAGTTTCCTATTATTGTTCGTATTAATACTAAAACCTTTTATGGTATACACCTTTTGGATTTGTACTGTCTTTTTACAAGTGGGTTGGTCTGCAATGTGATTCCCCTAGCATTTTTAAAACTTTAGCCTGAATTTTTAAGTAGTGCACGTTTGCATTGTCCTTTGTATTGTATAGAGCCTGACTTTGCTTTGGGTAATGGATTTCAGGTTGTAGATGTGCTAATGTAAAATAATAAATAAAATTACAAAAAAAATACACCGCTGATACCAGAATGTTTAACTTGATTGCTGAAATGTGCTATATCGGCATTGTGAAATTTTAACACATTTCAATTAGTAAAGTTTTGAGTGACTCTTGATGATTCTGTCAATCACATTTGAATAAATGCCATGATCTGTGATTCTTAAGTGGCTATAGGTATTTCTCCCATAATGTGATAGTTACATTCTTGTGTGACCCCGTGCTATTAAAAAATCATGTTAGGAAATCACTATACTATACAGTAGAAAGTTCGCACCATCCAAACAGCATCCATTTTGTGTTAACAAAACGTGTTCTAGCAGAAATACCTCTGGTGATTTGCTATAGCACGAAGTCACACAAGAACACAACTATCACGTTATAGGAGAACTACCTGTATTACACAGTTGTCCCTCTATGAACTCGCATTGGTCACTCTGATAAAGTTCTTCAGTAAAAGTCTTTCCAGTCCTGATTGTGATCTGCGCTATCAATGCCAATACATCTTTTTTCTTTACACTGTATGGGTATCAAAGCAATTACTATTAGAATTTTATATTGTTTTTCTCACTTGCAATACCGCTTTACTTGTATATTTTAATTAAGAATGCTTTGACTAGAAACACCAGGCATCAAATAAAGGAAAGTGCAAAGGATTTTGTGCCATCAAAAGATCAGGGAGCTGTAAAAACGATTACATCTTCCGCCGCCCCCCCCCCC